TCCCTGTAGAGTTGATCTTTTGCTTCTTGGATTTGTTTATGTAATTCATTGTCAAAGTGATCTTTCATTGTCTGATTTTGCTGTCTAATGTCTTCCTTTAGACTCCAGATCATCTGAGGCATGTATATCCTGAACTCTTTATCTAACATTCCATCTGCTGCAGATATTACCTCTTCTAATGTTGAAGTGACCTGCATTGTTTGTGGTCCTTTCTTTCCTTGTCTTTTCATACTGCTCATGTTTCTTTCCAGCTTTGTGAAACTGTTGTGTTAATGATTTTCCCCTTATATATTTATATTGCTCTTGTATAGCTCCAAAAACTTTCTTTTGTGTAGAAAGACAATGTTAACAGTTCCCAATATCAATAGTACATCATCTAAGCACAAATTTTTATTATTAATACATTTATAGTTAGACTCAGTCTACAGATATTGGCTTCAATTATTACTTAAAAATATAGTCATTAGTTTCATAAAAGGTATACCATTTCTGGTGGCATATAGAAAACTGAATTTCAGACATATGGTGTTATGCTTAGGAGGAAAGGAGTGAGGGTATGAGGTTAATATAACTTAGCAACTTTGGAGAACTCTAACCAATAGACTGGTAATTTATGGAAGAATGTATAGATTCAACCTTCTATCTGTATTTAGAAAGTTACCCTACATATAGATAGTAAAAGTTAGGGGGTTGAAAGTGGGATAGAGGAAGTAAGAATGAAGAAAAAAATAACAAGGAAGAAAAGAGAAAAAAGAGAGGGAAAAAGAAAATAAGAAAAAAGGGGGGAGTTGGGGCATATGCAATTCCCACCATCATTGCACTCAAAGGGTTTATCTTGAGTGCATATTTTCTGGTAAACAGCTTTTGGAGGCAAGCTGAAAGTTTGCCTACAGTGATTCAAAAAAAGTTTCTTTTCAGGAGAGGTTCTCTTGTGCAAAGGAAAGAAGTCTGTTCTACGTTGATCACAATCAGAAGTGGTCCCTGTATTTTGCATTCTCATGTGTGAGGTAAGGCAAGTATGTCCACTGATGAATTCTCCACATGGCTTACATCACAGAGCTCCCCTCCATTGTGCCTTCTTGCCTGTTCATAAAGGGATGAATAATGGTTAAAGTATTTTTCAGACTCATTAATAGATTACATGCACCTGAAGACTGAAAATTGTGATGATCTCCATTTCTGCAATTTTCATTATTTGCATACAGTTTCTGCCTCTCCCCCCCCTCTTCTCTCTCTTTTCTTTTTTAAAGACAGATTTTATGTTGTACAGGCTGGCTTTTAATGTTGGGTTCAAGTGACCTTCTGCCTGAGCTTCCTCAGTAGCTGGAACTATAAGTGAACACCACTTCTGGCTTATTGATTTATTTTTATTTTCTTTTTCCTCTCCACCTCCCCATGGTATTGGGAATTAAACCTGTGCTCTACCACTGAGCTATATTCCCAACCCTTCTAATTCTTTCAGACAGAATCTTACTAAATTTCCAAGGCTGACCTCAAACTTGTGATCCTCCTGCCTTGGTCTCTTGCTGGGATTACTTTGCCAGAATACTCTGCCATCTATTCTAAACTTGAAAAGACCTCTACAGTTTAGTGACAACCTTTTAAAAACTATCTAGTTACATATCTGGAAATGTGTACTTGTGGGAACTTGGGAGCAACAAGTTTCAAGTTAGGTTTGGGGCACCCCCAAATTCATATTTCTATTTTGCCTCTAGAGCCATTGCTCCTTCTTAGGTCAATGCTACTTCTCTCAAATCTCTCTTGTTCTGATTTTCTATAATGGAATTCCCAATCTTCTTTAAATATAGAAAATTAGAAATACCCCCTTGTTAGTCTTACCCTAAGTATCTCACTGGAGATCTGCTCCCTCAAAAAATTCTGCTGAAGTGAAGCCCCTTTGATTTTAAGTCCCATTTTCCATTCTAAAGTAAGAGAAAAAGAAATATAAGGGTCTGGAGACAGAAATGATAGATAGGAGGTGAAAATGGTAGAGATCATTTGCACTTATTTCCAAATTAAACATAATAAAGCAAAAAAAAAGATTTCACAATTTTCACTATGTCAAAAATCTGGCAAAGATAAGGACATGGCATCAAAATTTTATATGATTTATTACCAATTGATCCTATGAAAATTAAAATTGGTGGTGAACACAAAGAACATTTATCTTGGAAGGGGACAAACATAAAGAAGTATACATCAAAACAATGAAGAAATGCAACAGGTTATATTGTGAGATTATAGAAAAGTCTAAGTTGGCAGAGGATAAAAGAGTATAGAAGGTTGAAGATTTCCTAACTTCTGATAAAAATGATCTGATGCTTCTGAGATCAAGTGCATCTTTAAAAGTTTCTTCTTTATACTTATAGTGAATTTACTGACCAGGAGTATTGTCCATGAACACTAACCTTGGAGAACCCCTCCTTCCACTATCTTTGACTCTTCTTGCTCCAACCAAGAGATCAGGCTGGGTTTGAGGAGCTGACATTCTGTACCTAGGGAAAAACATATTCATGGAAAAAGCTAATGGAAGAGATGATAAACCTTCTCATGATTCAGGAACCACAGCTCTAATGAAAGCAGTGAAATTATTTCAAAAAGGTTAAAAATACAAATATCTTCTCTGCCTGTGTCCCATAAAAATTAGTTGTTTCTGACCCCTAAAATTCCAAATTCAGGCTTATGTGCACATTTACAAAGCACTAAGAACTTCTTTTTTTTTTTAAATCCAAATAGGAAATAGAGTGAAACAGTGATCTTCATTCTCACAGGGAATGAAAATCACACCTGATTGGTTTTGTTTTGTTTTGTTTTRCAGTAGTAGGGATGGAACTCAGGGCCTTGTGCATGCTAGGCTAGCACTCTACCGCTGAGCCACACTCCCAGGTAGTATGCCTGTGATCCTTAAACCTTACAGCATGTAAGAGTCACCTGGAGAATTTCTTCAACACGTATGACAGGGCCCTAACTGTGTTTCTGAGTATATGAAAGGTGGAAACTGAGGTAATGTATGTTAGGCCACATTTTGAGAACCACCACACAGATTAAAAACTATTATGATAAAGGCTGTGTCTCTATTATTTTCTACTATATTCAGAGTTGACTTCATTGATACTGCAACACAGTAAATACATACAAAATATGTTTTCTAGGAGGCTACACAGAATTATGGTAGTCCTACCTACCATGGTCAGGTTCTCATAGTTCTCCAGCATCACGTCTTTGTATAGATTTTTCTGAGTTGGGTCCAGTAAAATCCACTCCTCCTGGGTGAAGTGCACAGCCACATCATCAAAGGTCACCAAGTCCTAAACCATCACACAAATGCTGGTTTGAGCCAAGTAACACATCCACCAATGGCCACTGGAAAATGAGGAAATGAGACCAAAGCCTAAAAAGAGTTCTGAGGTCTCTCACTGTCTACCCCAGGGTTCAGTGATGCTAGGAATTCTTCTCTCTATGCACACTCACTGACTGTCCATCTCCTCTAGTTATATGGCTTGAATGGCACTTCTTATATGTGATCTTCTCTCAACACAAGAGTAGGTGCTCATCTTATTTCCCTCTACTGTAGCACATTCTTGAGTACCATGTAAATACTAGATAAAGAACACTTTCATCTCGCTTATCATTGTCAGAGCACTCAGCAAAATATGAAACATGTAGTCAGCACCATAAGGGAACATTAATTAGTAACACATGAAATACTAGTCTTCCTAGTATTTCATGTGATTTCATGAAATACTAGGGTGATTTCATGCCAATAAGTGGCTCTACTCCCTGGGGAAATTCAACTAGGGACTTAAGTCATTGAGCGGTGCTTTATTTGCTTTAAGAAGTTCTGGAAGTCAGGCATGGTGGTATATACCTGTGGTCTCAATTACTCAGGAGGCTGAAATGGAAGAATTGCTCAAGCCCAGATGCTTAAGATCAGCTTAGACAACATGTCACACACAAAAAAAAATTCCAGAGGGAGAAACACCTCTCAGAACCCACCTCAAAAAATAAGAAGTTCTGAAGATGATTATGAGTAGAAGAAAACATGTCACCTTGTTAGCTGCATGTTCAAGATTTTGTACAAGGATACATGCTCTGCATACCTGATCACAGTTTGGCAGGCAGACAATCATCTTCCTTTCTGCTTCTGTCTTTTCTTCATGAAGGCAAACTGGGTCCCTCTACAAAAGACCTCAGGGAAAAGAAATAAGGTATGTGTTGTGGTTTGCATATGAGGTATCCCCTGAGAGGCTCATGTGTTAGGTAATTGTGGCAATGTTCAGGGGTGAAATTATCAGATTATGTAAGCTCTAACCTCATCCATGGATTAATTCATTTGATGGATTAATCCATTTGATGGATTAATAATTTAAATAAACAATTAGGTATAGCTGTAAGCAGGTGGAGCATGGACAGAGGAAATAGGTGTCTTGAAGGTGAGGGGCATGCCCTTGGGGATTACAGCTTGTCCCTAGCTCCCTGCACACTCTCTGCTTCCTGGTTGCCATGAGCTAAGCCACTTTCTCCACCACACTCTTTGACCATGGAGTTCTGCCATATCTTGCACCCACAGCAATGCAGTCAGCCAGCCAACCATGGACTAACTCTGAAACCGTGAGCCCAAAATAAACTTTTCTTCCTCTAAATTGTTCCTGCTAGGTATTTTGATTATAGCAATGAAAAGCTAACACTGCATGAGAACTCAGAGCTGCCCGTAATTCCCACAATTTACATGTCTAGAAGTCATTCCATCCTAGTTTGAAATTTCCACGTAACCCTGCACACTCGACATTAAGTACACACTACTCCTGTGTGAGGCCAGCAGTCTGCCTCACATAGAGCCAGAAAAGGAGACCATATGCCAGGCTGCCCAAACAGGAAAAGGATAGTAGTCTCATTATACATAAGGAAAGCTATAGCCTTGAGAGATGTGACTATTTGCCCATAGCAATAAAACTCATGAAAGAGTGGGAGGAGGGGAGCAAGGGGAGGGGGAAGTGCTGGGGAGTGATACTGGCCAAATTGTATTGTTATATTGTGTGCATGCACTAAGATGTAAGAACAAATCCCACCATTATGTACAACTATAATGCACCAATTAAAAAAAAAAATCTTGGGACTGGGGCACTAGAGCCCTTGCCTAACACATGCAAGGCCCTGGGTTCAATCCTCAGCACCACATAAAAATAAATAAATAAAAGAAAGGTATTGTGTCCAACTACAACTGAAAAATAAATATTTTTTTTAAATCATAAAGAAGCTTCTACAGCATTTCTTCCCAGAATATATACACCAGGGGGGTTGACTGAAAACAGGATTCCCTGGTCCACTACATTTCCTATGAGAGCACTGGACCCCATACAGGGAGAACCTGAAGGAGAGTCTGTGAACAAGATCATCAGTAGGACTTACCATGGGACAAATCAATGGCTGCCATCTTGTGATACTGGTGGTCTTATGTGCCTGAATGATTCTTTCCTTGATTCAGAGAACACTGCAGGACAGCTATGAAGCTACACCAACAGTGGCCATCTTCACTCCTCTTTATTCAGGGTTAACTTAGTCCTGTTCACATCATCATCAATCAACAAATATTAATTATTAATAATTAAACATTAGCTCTCTTTGCAGATGGCATATGTGAAAGACTGAAAAAAATTCTATTACAATAGTATTAGTAACATCAATTGCTATTTATTAAGGACTAGACCTCAGAAGTTATAATAGCAGCTTTATGTATATAAGGTCACTTACCATTGGGCTGGTGTTGTGCTTCAGTAGTAGAGCACTCACCTAGCATGGTGAGGCACCGGGTTCGATCCTCAGCACTGCATAAAAAAAAATCAACCAAATAAAGGTATTGTGTCCATCTACAACTTTTTAAAAAATGTAAAAAACGATCACTTATCATTAACAATCCTGTAGATATTATTACCTTCCCCAATTTTGGTACTGAGGATTGAACCCAGGAGCACTCTTAGTGGTAGATGCAAAAACTCTTTCCTTTGGAGAGTTTTTATATCTACCACTAAGCCACACCCCAAGCCCTTTTAACTTTAAATTTTATTTTGAGACAGGGTCTTGCTAAATTGCCCATACTGTCCTTGGACTTGCAATCGTCCTGCCTTTGCCTCCCAAATTGCTGGGATGACAGGTGTGTGCCACTGTATCTGGCCTTATCATCTCTATTGAATGCTGAAAAACTTAGATTTAGAGAATGCTGGTAATGTCCAGTATTATCCAGTTAGGAAGTAGTGAATGAGGACTTGAATGCAATTACGTTTGTCTCTGAAACCAGATCTACTACAGCTGTTGTTAGAGGTTGAGTATTCCTTATCTAAATATCTGGAGCCACAAGTATTTCAGATTTCAGAATTGTGGGGTGCTGGGTTCAGCCACATGCTCACAAAGTTTTGGATTTCAGGTTTTTTAATTAGGAATGCTCAACAAGTATTCTCAACATAACCAGAAGTCAGTTTAGACATGTCCTTGTGAAACAATGCCACAGTCTGACTGGGCACAATTCAGGAGCCACTTGTCAAAAGAAACAAACTTTATTTTTAAAACTACAAACGCCAAACAAAACAGCTCCTCAGGAAAAACCCTCAGAGCCCAACTGCCACCACCGGCTTCCACAAGCCTCTCCACACACCAACCACCACCTCCCACCATCCTCCTGCTCTTGAGGCCAATTGGCTAGGTCGCGTGGGCGGAGCCAAAGAAGTCCCCCAATGAGCAGTTCCGTAGTCTGAAGGGCAGGGAAACAGCCCAATGAACATGACCGCAGAGGAGCCAATCAGCTAGATGTTGCTGGGGCCACTGTGAGCCAATCATCAGCTGGCAGCTTGAAGGGCAGGGAAACAGCCCAATGAACATGACTGCAGAGGAGCCAATCAGCTAGATGTTGCTGGGGCCACTGTGAGCCAATCATCAGCTGGCAGCTTGAAGGGCAGGGAAACAGCCCAATGAACATSACYGCAGAGGAGCCAATCAGCTAGATGTTGCTGGGGCCACTGTGAGCCAATCATCAGCTGGCAGCTTGAAGTTTGCTGGCAGCTGGAAGTTTGCTGGGGCCCCTTTGGCTGTGGCTCTCAACAAAACAATGATCACTAGTCACATGTGTCACTACTGACCACTTCATATGAAACTAGGACTAAATAACCGTATTTTAAAATTTTCATTTAATTTTAATAAAAATAACAATCATGAGTAGGTCAAGCACAGAATATTAACCCATATACTGACTTATGTGGTATTCAAATGATGACAAATAATGAAGTTTGCATAGTTCATTATCTAGGAACCAAATTCAACCTCACAAAAATTATCCAAAGCTTGTTCTATAAGCCAGGAAACCCTGAAATGACACTGGATTACAAGGACCACCTACCCAGATTCCTAGTATAAACTGTACCAACCACCACAAGTCTCGACCTGGAGATCCTTAGGCTAAACAGGCCCAAATATGTGTAGTCTGGTGGCACTCCAAAGAATAGTTGACCTTTTAAAAATTGAGATTAATATATAAGCAAACACACATTCAGTGGGTGAACTTTGACCACTGCATACATTTGAGTAATCAAAAGCCTACAAGATACGCAACATGTTCATCTCCCTAGAAGACCCTCTTGCCCCTTCCAGTCCATTCTCACACATCATCTCCTGTGCTCTCAGTTTCTGCATGCTGTATACATCCTGTATATGTACAGTAGGTGCTGTGCTCATCTATCTCAAATGTACATTTCTCTATTGTTTAAAGAAACAATTTGGGAGAAAATATTAAAATCTCCCACTGGAATGATGTTCATATCTATTTCTTATGTCTGCAAAGAACTTTGATATATCTTGTAACACAATTATTGGGTGGATACACATTGAACTTTAATATTTTTGAGGTAAAAAAATCTGGCATCATAATGAACTCTATTTCTCTAAGAATGTTACTGGATGATGTCATGTGACATAGCAATCACCTTTCCTTTGGAGAGTTTTTGCATCTCATAGTACAGCACTGTATCCCCTTTGGACACCAATGTCCCCCTTGACCTGGCATAGCACCTAAGTCATGCAAGGCATCCAGTAACTGTTGGACAAACAACTGAGATCCTTCTCAACACTGCTAAAGTATACCTAGATTATAAGGGCAGCAGGTGTAGCTCAAAGGTAGAGAACTGGCTTAGCATATGAGAGGCCCTGGGTTCTATCCCCTAGATTATAGCTAAATAATTGTCAATGAAAACGTAAATTTGGGTTTTCAGGAAATGTATTAAATTACTCAAAAGTGCAAGGGTAGAAAGTGCGAATGGTAGGAACACATTGTGTCCTGTGTCCTCACGTATCAGTCCCAGCTCATCTAACATTCCCATGACCTCCTGATGTGCCCTCGCACCCTGATTCCCTCGGTTGGTCTGCGAGTCCAACAGCCAGGGCTTGTGTGCATCACAGAGGGCTGCTGCCTACCTTGGCCCAGGCAACCCACCAAACTTCACCTGCCAGTGGGCTGCAATGACACCATTTCCAGCATTGTGGAAAAGGCTCCTTACCAGTATGGCCATCTTTAGAAACTCGAGGATATATGTTATTAGAGTTCATTTTATATCTCCTAATAAATCAAGGTGACATTTTTTGTCTCCTCACAGGACCCTCCTCCTACAGAACTGATACAATGTTGCCAAAGATGGACATCCAATGATCAGAATTTGGAAGTGGTCAGTCAAGCATTTGGGCCTGACCATACAGCTGGTTTCTTCTTCATTTCTCTTCCCTCTCTCCCTTACTCCCCCTCTGTGTCTGTCTGTCTCTCTTTCTTTCTGGTATTAGGGATTTAACCCAGGGGTGCTTTGTACTTTACCACTGAGCTGTATCCCCTGCCATTTTTTTAGTTTTTGAGGCAGGATCTCATTAAGTGGCTTAGTGCCTCTCTATATTCCTGAGGTTGGCCTTGGACTTTAAATCCTCCTGCCTCAGCCTCCCAAGTCACTGGGATTACAGATGTGCACCACCATATCTGGTTAGGGCTGGGTTTCTTTCTTTCTTTTTTTAATCACAGATGGATTCAATACCTTTAGTTTATTTGTTTATTTTTATGTGGTGCTGAGGACCAAACCCAGTACCTCACACGTGCTAGGCAAGGGCTCTACCACTGAGCTTCAACCCCAGCCCTAGAGCTGGTTTCTTAAAACAGAAAAAGCATTTGGCAGAGCCAGGCATGGTGGCACATGCCTGTAATCCCAGCAGCTCGGGAGGCTGAAACAGGAGGATTACAAGTTTAAAGACAGCCTCAACAAAAGCGAGGCACTAAGCAACTCAGTGAAACCCTTCTCTAAATAAGTTACAAAATTGCCGCAGTCTGGCTGGGCACAATTCAGGAGCCACTTGTCAAAAGAAACTAACTTTATTTTTGGAACTACAAACGCCAAGCAAAACAGCTTCTCAGAAAAAAAAAAACCCTCAGAGCCCAACTGCCACCACCGGCTTCCACAAGCCTCTCACTCACCCAAACCTCACCACCTCCCACAATCCTCCTGCTCTTGAGGCCAATTGGCTGGGTCGCATGGGCGGAGCCAAAGAAGTCCCCCAATGAGCAGTTCCGTAGTCTGAAGGGCAGGGAAACAGCCCAATGAACATCACCGCAGAGGAGCCAATCAGCTAGATGTTGCTGGGGCCCCTGTGAGCCAATCATCAGCCGGCAGCTGGAAGTTTGCTGGCAGCTGGAAGTTTGCTGGGCCCCTTTGGCTGTGGCTCTCAACACAAAATTTTAAAAATAAATAAATAAATAAGTTACAAAATAGGGCCAGGGATGTGGCTCAGTGGTTGAGTGTCCCTGAGTTTAATCCCCGGTACTGCCCAAAAAAGCATTTGGCAGGATCATATCGACCAAGATACTGTCTGTGGCAGACTGTGATAAGAACTTGCCTTAGAAATCCAAGTAAATAGCCAGGTGCAGTGGTGCATGCCTGTAATCCCAACAACTCAGGAGGCTGAGGCAAAAAGATGTCAAGTTTAAAGCCTGTCTCAGCAACTTAGAGAGCCCCTGTCTCAAATAAAAAAAAATTAAAAAGGGCTTGGCGTATGGCTCAATGGTTAAACACCCCTGGTACTAAAAAACAAACAAACAAAGCCAGGCAGAATGGCTCAGGCCTATAATCCCATGGCTCTGGAGGCTGAGATAGGAGGATCGCAAGCTTGAGGCCAGCCTCAGCAACTTAGTGAGGCTCTAAGCAACTTAGTGAGGCTCTAAGCAACTTAGTGAGACCCTGTCTCAAGATAAAAAAGTTTAAAAGTAAAAAAGGCTGGAGATATGACTCAGTGATAAAGCACCTCTAGGTTTAATCCCCAATATCAAGAGGAAAAAAAAAGTTCTCCAAGTAAATGCTATCCTTAACCATTACAGAACAACTACATAATTACAAGATTTTGTGGTAAGAGATGGATTCCTCTGAGCAGACTTGTGAGAATATAACAAGCTCAGATCTTCTGACTTGCAGTTCAATTTAAGGTCTGACAATCAAACAGCTTCCAAGACAGCTATTAAAGCTAATTTTTAGTTGCTACAAGACTGTTTGTAATCATTGAAAATCAAACACAAAATTTAATTGAACAGGTTAAATTACATCCAGAGTCAATTCAGTGTCACCTAGTTTTTCAAGTGAAAATCAGAGTATGAATTACTGTTCTGTAAGTGGGGGTGGGGGAGTAAGTCTTCTTTGGGGTCTTTCGTTTGCTAACCTATGTACTTGAATAATTTATCTAAGTAAAAGTCTCAATGCTGATAGCCAAAAACCTGATTTGAGTCACAGTGAAAAGTCACAGCCTTTCACCCAATTTCT